TTCCACTCCCTTAACTCAGGATCCTGCACTCAGGCAAGCAGGGGATGACTCCTCCTCCTGCAATCTACATACTCAGACCAGAACACCCACTCATCAGAACCCCAGAACCATCCTCCTCTCCAAGAACAGGCCTTAACAATCATACACTGCTGAACCTTGTTCCACATTGTCTTTTGGCTTTACCAGTTTCTGTTTTTTTTTTCTCACTCTCATCTTAATCCTAATTAATCATTTTCATTCCTCATTCTTTGCTGCTAGCTGGTTGTCATACAATCAACCCAACATACTAAAGGGGATTTGGTTGGACCAAGCGCACAATGAGAGGTTCAAAGCTGAAGGTAAAGATGTCCTAGAGTTGTGTTGAAGATAACTAATTCAAGTTTGAGAAAGGTTCAAAGAAGTGTAAATGCTTTGATGTTGTTGAAGGTAGTTAACTTAAGTTTGAGGAAGGTAACCAACAGGGCAATGGCTATTGGCAAGGTTTAAGGTGTGAAAACCACAATATTAGTTGACTGAGGAGAAAGGGGAAAAGAATGAGAGAAATACAAGAGCTTAAATAGGCAAAGGGAGAGTACAAGCTCAAAGATAGAGGTAAGGGTGAAAGAGGGTCAAAGCACAGGGGGATTGATGAGATGAAAGTAAAAGCAAGGGATTATGCTTTAAACCAAGCCAGAAAGAGGATTGATTGATCTGCTCAAATGTCCTAGGATATGATCAAAGATGATGAGGGATTATTGCTGGTTTACCTCAATGAATTGGGTTGAGCCAACAAGGAGTAAGTGCCAAGCACAGGCAAAGAGAGGTTATTGCTGTTCTATCCAAAAAAGGAAAGGAGTTACCAAGCTGAGTTGCTGAGTAAACTTTGAAAGTAATCCTCTTAATGAAAGTAAGTTCGAAATGTGTGATTGCATTTGATTCAAAGAATGCCAAGCTTTCATTGGTTGAGTGTTGCATGTTGATGTGGATGATGTAGATTTTTGGTCAAATGGGGTGTGATTTTGAGGCAGCATTTGGTTTGAAGCTGAGCCTGATGTTCAACATGTGACATAGGTTTATCTGTATGTTCAGTTTATCTTCCTCTTTTTATCATATCCTCAGTCTTCTATTTCTGGTGCACTGTTGTTTGAGTCTACAGACTCTTCATTCTTTTATTGTGTCTTACACACTACTGTCATAAATGTGTTGCTATGAATGTTGTCCAATACCACAGTATCCCAGGTTACTATTGCCAGGAAGCTGTTGTGCCTCCCTTGATGATTCTATGCTATCATTCAGTTGCTTCATGCCCATAGGCAGACAATTTAAGATTCTTCTTGTTTCCATCACTCCCTCCCAACCACCTTTTGGCCCTTCACTCTCTTTCATGTTGTTTTTACTAAAGTTACCTTGTTTTCCCTCAACCATTGCTCCCCATAAGCCCACTAGGAATCATAGTAGTATTGATTAGCACTGGTCACAGTCTCATTGAGATTCATTCTAGTTACAGATCTTGCATACCTTGTTTACACCAGTATAGAGTCTGGGTTTACACCATCACTTGAAGCTCTGAATATGAATGTGAGCCCACTATAGTCATTATAGTAGTATTGCTTAGCATTGATCACAGTCTCATAGAGAGGTATTATAGTTACCGTGTTGACAGCAGTATCCAGTCTGGGTTTACATCCTCTCCTGGACCTCTGAACAGGGAGATCAGCCAAGTCTTATTCTTCAAGAGTCTGTACTTTTTATTTGCTGTCTCCCAAGCTTGCCCAGAGAAGCCCTTCAAGCACTCTCATCGCTCTATTTGTCATGATGGCAGTTCCAAAGCAGTCACACTAGGGCCTTGTAACAGTGGGCTGCTACGCTACACTACGCTACAGGCCAAAATAGTGTAGCGTAGCGGCCATTTTTTTTCCGCCAA